ACACACACACACACACACACACACACACACACACACACACACACACACACACACACACACAGTTCACACCTGCTGCTTTGACGCTGACACTCACACCTGTGCAGGTGAGCGCACCTCGTTGTTGCGGTCTCGCTCCAGGAAGTGTTGTGCGACGTGGACGGGCAGGATGTTGAGCAGCAGACACTCGTTGTGTTCCCTCAGCTCCTTCATGTCCTCCACCTCCTTCCTCGCCTGGAGACGCCACAGGAAGTCCAGCCGGGCCGTCGCCTCCAGCTACCAAGGAGAACAGAGAAGAACATGAGGGGCGTTAGAACTCATTAGAACCCAGTAGAACCCAGTAGAACTCATTAAAACTCATTAGAACTCAGTAGAACCCAGGAGAACTCATTAAAACTCATTAGAACTCATTAAAACTCAGTAGAACTCAGTAGAACCCAGTAGAACCCAGGAGAACCCACCTGTCTGCTGTTGTAGAGAACCGCGAACACAAACATCACCATGACAACGACACAGACTCCGTTTTTACACAAGTGATCAGATCTGAGCGACAGAGAATGAGCTGTTAGCAGTTAGCAAAGCAGTTAGCATAATATTTTATTCTACTTTATATCTAACAGTCCTCCATTAGCATCTGTGGCTAAGTATCACTAGCATAACATTGGTTGGGAAAAACAATGATTCACGTTGGATCAGCTTGGAGAAGCTAACACTGGTTAGCATGAGCTTTAAATCAGCTGCTTCAGTTGGAAATAGGATGAGCTCACCTGTGCGTCTCGATGACGTAGGTGTAGAGGGCGGCGGCCACCAGGAGGACGGCGAGCTTCAACACACAACTCAACCTGAGGAACACCGCGCAGGTAACCATGGCAACCATGGCAACCATGCCACTCAGAGCCATGTACTGTGAACAAGGACGTTAGTTACGTTAAAACAGCTACGCTAACAACGCCACAGTGTTTGATTAGCGTTCGAGCTAACCTCTGGATGTGTACAGATGTTGATGTCAGGCCAGGCAGCGGTGGGCGGAGCCAGCGGGCTGTCACTGTGGTTGATGTGAGGGTCTGATGAGTCACACCACAGCTGGAGGAAGGAAGGAAGGAAGGAAGGAAGGAAGGAAGGAAAGAGAAAAGTGAGGCAGCCTGAAGAGGAGACTTTACGCTCCTTTACATTCAACCATTCCCCGAGACTTACGATGTCCGAGGAGGCGACTCCAAAGTTGACGGTGATGGCGGTGAGTGTGAGCAGCGTCCGTGCGCTCTTGTTTTCGTGAATCCAGCAACAGAGCGCCTGAAGGGAGGCGGGGCAATGCTTAAACTCCTCCCCCAGCGTGAGCACCAAGAGCAGAGAGTAAACTCCAGCGCTGATTACGAACTGAGCGATCATCGGACATAACCTGGACAGAAAGATAAAGGTCCAACCTTCACAATCCATCAGGGGTTAAACCAAGACGTACGAACTATCATCGGATCGAAAACGAAGCTAATTATTTCACTGTACGCTGATGATGTCGGCTCCTACATAAGAGAGGTGCAAAATCAACAGTGACAATTCAGAAGGTTGTTTTTGTGGAAATGAAAAGATTAAAATATTTATACAACAGCAATAAGGAGATATAGAGAGAGATAGAGTACTTTATTCATCCCCGGAGGGAAATTAAATTAGATAAACTACAGGAAGAACCTACATGTAAATAAGAACTACGCACCGTGGGGCGGGGGTTAGCACTTGGACCGCCATCAGCAGCAGCAGCAGGATGAAGGAACAAACCATGTTGGACTTGAAGAGTTCGTCCCTCATCTGTGAATACTGAGACAACAGGAGGAAGCTTAACGTCAAACTGTCCGTTATAACTCAATCATAAAACCACAGACAGGACGTGAGCTCGTTACCTTTCCCTCCATGTGGGAGTCCTTGAACACCTGAGTGAAGGTGGTGATGTGCTCCTTCCTCATTCGTTCACTGCTCCGAACCTCCATGGCCCGACGGATCCTCTTGTTGACCTCCCGTGACCCCGACCTCTGAGCTGCGATCTGATTGGGTAGCTGGGTCAGTGAGCCGTTGGTGAAAGTGGCAAGGATCTAGGGGGCGCCGCAGAGCGTAAGACATAGAAAGTCGACACATTTCTTTAAATTGAGAGATTTTTATTCTTAATGTTTCCTCACGAAATTCATTCCCAGGATGTCTCCGAACGGCAGCTCGGCGCTCCAGCTCGTCATCTCGTCGTAACTTGGGTGCATCACTTTTGGCAGCTCGGCCTCGTCCCGCGGCGCCGGGCGGATGAGGTAGGTGTCGATGTTGTGCTTCCGTAGAAACTCGTTGCGGTCCTGGCCATGTCCCGCCTCCGTCTCGTAGAGCCCGCCCAGACAGTCCAGAGTGGCCTGAGAGACGTGGATTCGTCTGGTGACGACACAAAGTGACGTTACATCGGTGTCGCTAGAAAACTTTGTTTTCAAATTGTTTGTGTTTTGTTATTTGAAAACAAGACTTTGACAAGGACGGACACAATAGATTCCACGTGGAGAAATAAATAATTCTAGCTTTGGTTCGAGTAAAGAGTTCCAAGGTAAATGAACTGAGGAGTTATTGTCAGTAATGGTCGAGTATCTGAGGAGACATGTTGTTTATCAAGCTGTCTTGTTGATCATAGTCCACGATCAGGATCCAGGATTTGTGTGTCACAAGGATCACATTCTAAAATAACACAAAATAATTCATGAATCTTGTTAAAAACCATCAGACGTGTGCAGAAGACTGATCCAGATCAAATCTGGTTTGTTGAGGACCGTTTTAAATGTGAGATTATTTTTAACATGTGACTGTAGCAGTCGTGACATCATCACAGGACTGAAGGCGTAAGCTTCAGGTTCATATCAGTTCAATCTGACTCTGTGGATCCTTTGTGTTTATAAAGCCAGCGTGTAAATCACTGTCTGACCCCGGGACGCCTGCAGCCTCCAGACTGTTGGCGATGTCGACGTCCCAGCTCCAGATGTCAAACTGCCACTTCTGAAGACCCAAGACGCCACAAAGAACCGACCCTGAGTGAACCCCGATCCTCATGTCCACCTCCTGCTGCAGCTCCCGACGGACGTAACTGTGACACAATGAGTGAGTGAGTGAAGCGTCATGTGGACACGCCCTTCAAAGTGTTGTTAGTGTGTTACCGTATGGTGTTGATCATACTGAGACCCATCTCCACACAGCAGCGAGCGTGTCCCCTCTGAGGCTCTGGAACTCCCGACACACAGTAATAACAGTCGCCCAGGATCTTGATGCGCAAACACCGATGCCCCTGAACACACACAGAGGAAAACACAGCAGAGTCTTTAATAACAGCCGTCTTCTCGTTTTGTTCCATTGGAGAATCAGCGGTTTGTGTGGTTGCCATGGAGACCTGACCTCTGCGAGCCTGTCGAAGCGGCCGAAGAGTTCGTTGAGAGTTTTAACGAGATCCTGAGCAGAAAGAATCAACGAGAGCGACGTGAAGCCGATGAGGTCTGCGAACAGGATGCTGCGGAGAGGGATCGTGACAGTACGATTAAAAGTTGAAATGTTTTCTGTCACAGGAAGTCAAACATCAGACGCAGCTGAAGCAAATGACCGAGGGAGTCGACCTGACGTCCTTGTAGTGGTGGATGTAGATCTTGTGGAACTGCTGAGGCAGCAGATACTCGTCCACGGTGGCCATGTCAGAGATCATCTCCAGAACCAGGAAACGAGGCAGGATGGACTTCACCAGACGCTCCTGAACCAAACACCAGCACCGGTTCAAACACTAACAGCACTTCTCATTTTGAAGGTAGAACAACAGGCGGGTTCATGGAGCAGGACAGAGATGGGTTCCATCACATTCATTCACATGAAGCACGTGAGGTGAATCAATAACTTATTGTATCTCAAGGAATCCAATGACATCCTGTCGTCACATTTCACGTTTATAACAAACGTGATTCTGCACCTGACGGTGGTTCTCTCTCTCCAGCCTCACTCGTCCCTCGATGCAGCGCCTCGTCTCCAGGAACGATTGTCGCTGCGTCCGGTCCGACAGGTAGTGGATGAAGAGACCGGCGGTGTTCATCGCCAGGTACAACAAGGCCTTCGACAACACCTGCACACGCACCACAACCACACACATGGAAACACAGGAAACATAGTTCAACACAATCTGCCAGGGTCAGTTCCTGCAATTTAAAAAGGGAATAGAGAAGGAAGAGAGGAAGAAAGAGAAGGATGGAGGTCAAGAGGGAGGGAACAGAGGAAGGATGGGGCCAGACAGGAAGTGGGAAGTAGAAAGGAAACAAGGGGGAAGAGGAACAGAAATAAAGGAAGGAAGAAAGAACCTTTCTGATGAAGGTGTGGTCTCCATGGTGACAGCAGAAGTCCACCAGCAGGTGCAGGGTGGAGGTGGTTGCCCCGGCGATAATGGACCAGAGGAAGGGGAGGGGCAGCAGGGTGTAGGTGGAGAAGAGGGTGAAGACCACGTACCACGAGTGATCGCTCTCCGCCCAACTGAAGACGCCGAGCAACACCTGCAGCGTCTGAGACAACCAGCTGACCACTGACAGGTACCTACACACACACACACACACACACACACACACACTACTGTATCTGACACACACAGGAAGTACCCCAGTACACCGGGAAGTAAAAGTACCTGAGCCACTGTGGTGACGTCATCACTTCCCTCCTGATCACAGCCAACGCACAGATCCCCGCCCACAGGATGACTGACAGGCCAACTAG